CCAGGAACAGAGGCTCAGTTATGCCCTAGGCACTGGGTTCCCTTTTCGTCGCTTCCTACGACTCGCAGGGCTATGGTGGAGGTATTCGAGTCCTACTCACTCACTCGAGCGAACTGAACCAACTCCTTCTGCATGAACCGAACGTAAATCTCCATGTCTTACAGTTCCGATCTTAATATGTTTCTCTGTGTTTCTTTTTATCTTGGGAACATGTTTACTTAACCGTTGCCCAACAGTGGAGTTCGCTTCTTTTCGTTGATGAAGGAGCATGTTCTTGGGGAACCGTTTGCTAGCAATAGACTTCCGCTCTGGCTCCACTATTCCGCCTTTCAGGTGTCATGTCACTATATATATTGTGACATGTTGAGCTATGGATGACGTCTCTCACCCCCCGCCAGCCGTGATGCGCCGAGCGGAGCCGAAGTTAGCCGAGTCCTAGCATCCTGGTCGCTAGGCAACGCGAGTCAAGAGCGATGACGTCACCAAGGGTACCGCGGGTTGCTAGGCAGCACGGGTAAACAGGATTGCGAGAGACGAAGGTGGTAACAGCGGTTACTACCGCTAGCGTTGCTAGCAACACAGCGCCAGGCAACAAGGGCGCTTATTACGTGGCCGTTTTCTGTATTGTCCGATCGAGGCTACATGAGGAGCAGCGAAGGCTATTCACAGTTAGTCCTGGAGCTACCTACGAGTCAGTCCTCGAGCTACCTCCGAGTTAGTTCCGAGTTAGCCAGCAACCAATCAGTTGTATTCTGGCATTTGGAGTGTACTAATTGTGATACTGCAGATAGCAGTAATCGTAAATCTGTAATTTGGGTGATTGTAAGTGCGAATGTGAAATAAAATTCGCTATATAAAATACGGCGTGAAGTTATTTGTCGCGATATACGCCCAATACGCGACAATATATATGTGTGTGTATATATTTGACCCATTTCTTTTAATTTCTGTTTTGTTTTCTACAAGCGATTGCTACGTTAAGACTGTATTTTCTGATACTTTTCTGTACTTCTTGTCTCTCTTACGTCGTTTTTATATGTTCAATTTCACACCGTTAGTTCATGTCTGCCTTACTTTCTGAGTGTGTTCAGGTTCGGTAACAGCAACTTTCCACGTATTTAACCTTAAAAACGGAGGCATATTTCGAAACGACTCCCCATAGCTTGAAATATTTAGCCTCTCACTCGTCACTCTCGGGTCCACGACCTCTAGGAGCAAGTGGCCCGTACTACAAAGTCTGTGCAGGGCGTGAGAGTGCTGGGGTCTCTGGCTTGCTTGCATTCTGTTCATTATCAACGTTTATCGGCTGAGATCATTCCGATTGGCGCTCCTAACTACTATGTGGCATGAGGTCAAGTTCACGGTCAGGCACTTTGCTCTTGACCCTCAAACGCTTGGCTTCATTAGTGCTCCTTAAGAGAAATATTTCTGCATTGTCAATCCACGCGACTGTCTCGTAGACACTCAAGGCTGTGTTGTAAATGACAATAAGAAGCTTATTGTGTTTTCATAGCTCAAGCGGTTAGTCGCTGGCTTCCCACAGCGGCAGCCCGGGTTCGATCTCTGGTCTGGTCAAGTGGAATTTGTGGTGGACAAAGTGGCGCTGGGGCAGGTTTTCTCCGAGTACTTCGGTTTCCCTTGCCAATCTTCATTCCACCAATTGCTCCACAATCACCCTCACCTATCATCTGGGGCTGGTACAATAGGCCAGAAGTGGCTGCAATACAAGGGACTTAGTCCCGCCCCACTAGCAATAAAGAAAATAAAATTACCTTTGAGTAAACCCACTTCATTATTTCTTTCTCTTTCCTAAGCGTTTCACGAAGATGATCACCTTTGATATCATCGAAGCAAGCTTTCACAGTTATCATCACTTTTACCATGTCCACATACAGCCAATAATATAGTGGGATGACTGCTAAAAGCCGGAATAGTTTAATCAGAATAGACAGTCTTTACTAGTCTACGGCACAGTAAAAATTCATCAGCGCAACAACAATTGCACACACAGCAGATGAATTGTATTTTCTGTGCTGTCCGCGCGGATATCGACGTAACCTGACAATAATAGTACTGCTGGAAGTGGTGTTTTCTGTGCAAAATGATCCGAGGTTTGCACACGGTTCAACCTTCCATATGTATACGATCATATAGAAAATTATGCAGGAGACAAGCAGAATACATACAAAATCATGAGAATAAACATGTTCGTGGTATACGACAAAGCGAAGCCAGATATAGAAAATATAAGAGGCTTAAACTTGGTGGTGGTCGGGCTGACGGCCTTTCAAGCGATTAACCTACCGTCACATCATACGATAAATAAGATAGACATGATCTGCTCTGCAAAGCCTGTACTGACAGAGGACTTGTGATTAGTTCAAAAGGATGAATTTTCAATAGCATCTTATGTATGTGGGAAATTCACGGTTTACGAGAGGCCAAGCATATTCATAAGAGAGAAACCCGTCTTCTCGTCAGAGAGGATATTACATAAGGACTATTACCGGCAGGGTTCATTTGAAAAAAAATATCTCTGGTCGTGGGTCTCAAGGGGCGTGAGGCCAGCATGAACTGATTGGCGGTAAACCTCCAGTCGTAAAGTAACTTTGTCTTTGACTTGATTTAGACTTACGAGATAACCCTGATAATGCAGTTAGAAGAGTAGGAATTTGGTGTGAGATGGCCGCCAGCCTGCGAGGACGTACGTCTGGGAGCAGAAAAACGTTCTTTGTTGGAAGATATTGAAAAGCAGCGTAGTGAAGACTGTGACTGAAAACACTAGGCTTTGTGTGATAGATTTGTATAATGTAATGTAACGTTTCTAGACAGCAGACGAGAAGAACTGAGCTTCTGGACTGAATGGTAGCAAATTCATTCTTCTCTTAATTCCTTCCTCAATCATATCTTGATGTGTAACTGCCATTCTCAAGTATCTGAACTGCACCACATTTTCAGAGGACCTGTTACCTGTCTTGTATTCATGATTTTGCTCTCCATTCTAAAGGCGGGTCTACACTGAGGCAACCATTGGCAACCGCGCCGCACGCGGCGCGATCGCATGCTGCAAGTTGCTCACTTGCAGGTAGTGGGTAGCGCAATCGCATGCGGCTTGCGTCCAGCGTCCTCTAGTTGCTCCAGGCTGCAAGGTTATCCATCGCTAGTGGCTTCAGTTGCCTACTCGCATGCAGCGTGATGAGTTGGGACACGGATAAAGCCAAATGTCTTATCGAAGAATACCGTGAAAAGAGCATTCCGTGGGATTTGCAGAATCCAATTATAAAGACAATCGGAAGAAGTTGAAGCTATGGGAGCAATTAGCCACGAAGTTTGAATGTTCGGTGAAGGAAATGAAAGAAAAGATTAAAAATCTCAGAAAGACTTTCCACAGGTATATAAAGAAGAAGAACGGATCCGCCAAAGGTGATCAGTGGGTGATCTTCCCTTCTTTGAGTTTCCTTCTTGAGGTTGACGCACCAAAAAGATGACTTTCAACGGATGAGGACGTAAAAATTGAAGCAACCAGTCGCTCTGGTTGTAAATGGGGTTGGTCGCATGCGGCAACGGTTGCTCCTGGTCGCATACTGCTTGATAAATTGGACGGCAAACATAGTCGCTCGAGGAGGGCAACTAGGTTGCTTTAAGTTGCCCCAGTGTAAACCCGCCTTAATGATGCTATGCCAACGTAGGCCAGCGGTCGGTATATCCCACCTAAATTCAGTCCCAATTAATATCAGTCCCACTTGGATTTCCTGGAGTTTCTTAATGGCATATTCTGAAGCAAGGTTTCAAAGCAATGGAAATAAAGCATCTCCTCATTTTAGACTATTTTCGGATAAGAAATATATATCAGAAAAAATATTTGCCTATGCAGGTTTTATTACAGGTTTCATAGATGTCCAATTGAATATATGAACGTTACGCCGCGGGAATATGGTACATAGATTTTGACAACCAGATTATAGGATGTGACAAAGCTTACTATTTTAACTCCATTATCATTACTAATTTCGTGCAAACTCTCATTCCGAATTATTGGTTTGAAAATGTCTTCCCTCTCTACTTTGACACTGAAATCTCCTAACGAAATTTTCTTATGGTATTTAAGGAATTTATCAAATATATATTGCATTTCCTCGTAGAAGCTGTCCTTCATGTCATCATTTTATCCTCTGTTGGGGCATGAACATTCAGAACACTCAAATCACACCAGCTATGTCTCATTATTATATATGACATCCTACAATAACAAACTGTGTTATATTAATTGCTAACATGATTGTCGTAAGTACAGAAATCTTGTCTATATTTCATGACTCCCATTCCAGCTTACATGGAAAAATGTGAAATCTTTTGCAGAATCAGTTCCACCCTTGTCTCAACTTACCTCTTATACTCCCACTTAGTCTGGCTTATACTTTGCTATTTCTTTTGCAATCACAGAAATACTAGTATACCTTGATACTGGACTATATCCTCTCATATATATATATATATATATAGCATTTGAGCTTCCCAGTAGGGCTCTTGTATCGATTATGGTATTGTGTGTGTGTGTGTTTGTGATAGTGAGGATATTTCGGGCGAAAAGAGTAAATTAATTTATTAAATAATAACCAATATTTGTACTCCAATTTGCAGGAAGGCGTACTTATTTCACACATAAAGAGTGGCTCAATTAATTATACATTCTCTACTGGTATACCTGAAGTGAAGTATCCATCACAAGTCAGTTAACTCATGTTAGGGCTGTGTCAAATCTGAGATCAGATCTTTACATTCCCTTTGCACAGATTCTAGTTAATTCTACTAGAATGTGCCGAAAACTTAATCTCTGTAACATGCCAACATTTTTCGTCATGTGCCAGTATACAGAGGGGCTGGGTTCTTCTAGTTAAATGGTGTGGAGATGTTGAAGAAGCATTTTTAATTATTTATTCTGATCGAAAATATTAATTTACTTTTATCTTAGCATCCTAATATATGAAATTTCTTCGCAGATAGATTTTCGCCTCTTCTACAATGGCTCCAAATGTAACAACTTCTCCTACTGAAGTTTCGTGTACTTCTGACACTACATTACTCTCATCAAACGAATTAAAAAGTGATGCGACAAAACCCTGCCTGAAGTACAGAAGAGAAATTGTGTGGCCAAATGTTGTCATGCATGCTTATTTAAATTTGGCTGCCCTTTATGGAGCCTACTTGATGTTGACGTCTGCTAAAATACTCACAGGAATATGGGGTAGGTACGTCAGATATGTGTTCGAAACTGAAGAAAATGGGATTGTATGTCAGATATGTGTTCGAAACTGAAAAAATAGGGTAATATGTCAGATATGTGTTCGAAACAGAAAAAATGGGATAGTATGTCAGATATGTGTTCGAAACTGAAGAAAATGGGATAGTATGTCAGATATGTGTTTGAAACTGAAAAAATGGGATTGTATGTCAGATATATGTTCGAAAATGAAGACTATGGGGTAGTATGCAAGATATTTATGAAGTTCAAGAGAACCCAAATTCCGACTAGGTGAGAAGTTCTGTTCAGTGTTCTCATTAAAGTCAGTATAGCCATAAATCTGTGAATAATTAGGCCAATTAATGTATGTTTAAACGGAACCTCTAATGGAGTTCATACAGGTAAATATTTGTGTAATGCATTTCCTATTCAGAATATTCTATGCCTATGATATAAGGAAATGCTTACTCATGTGTATAATCACTTCACATTGTTAGGTTTTATGTGTCTATTTCCATTTGTAACTAAACACAAGTAGAAATAGTGTATATGGAAATTCTCGGCGGATTTAGAAGGCAATACTTTCTTAACCAATGAACATACTGAAGAAACAATTCAGTGACACAACATTTAATTTTAAAAATCCTCTCAGTCAATTCCCAAATGTGTGCCTTTCTCAGCACGACAGATACCTAGCAGTTAACTGATTTTAGTCCGGCTCTAGTGTTACTGTGTCACAGATGCATTGTTGAGCTGTTTGACTCCATCTGCTTTGATTCACGTACATGGCGTTTTGATGTCACTCCATAAGAATATATCGCGGTGCGTCAAATTTGATGATTTCGGACATAAATTTTGTAGCCTCTTCGATTTTATTTGTGGAGTTATATCCAGAGTTCCTTCCATGTGTGTACTGATCAGGTGGCCAACTGAGACATTGAACCATTGCAGATGTTAACGACAGTCGTTCCAGACATAGGCTAAATTCATTTATCAGATACTTAGGCTACCTTTTCTCCCTTGAAAGTTACGCATGTGGAATTTTTTTTTATAAAATGTTTTGAGTTGTACATTAATTCCTCGAATTACGTATTTAATGTACAAAATAAAAAAAACTCCGTGGCCTGTAGTTAGCAAGCGAATTATGCCGACCAAGCGACCGTCGCTTGTCGGCGAAGTTAGTGCCAACTTTTGTGGATAGAGGTTGCCGCGTGGTCAGCGCAACGGGTCCCCACAGCAGTTAATCTCTGTTTTCTAGACCGGACTTTAATAGGTATAATCGTTAAGAAAACACATTTTCCTGGACACTCTGTATAGTACAGTAATATTGAGCATTAAAATTGACATTTCACACTCAATTATTAGTTACTACATATTAGACTATACGAGTATTTTATTTCATTTACAGCCTTCATTTTGTACGAGGGAGGTATACTGGGAATCACAGCGGGCGCCCATCGGCTGTGGTCCCATCGCGCTTACAAAGCGAAGTGGCCGATGAGGCTTGTTCTTATGCTATTACACACACTGGCTTTTCAGGTAGATGCTTTTCCTTTATGTTCATGATAGTGATGATACGATGAAGCTGATCAGTTAGTATCTTACTGCGGAAGAGATAATCACGACTATTTTTAACATTACTATTCAGTTCTAAAACGTAGCATTTCAGAAATCAGAATCTACTTCCATCATCAGGTGTAAATGAGGAAATTTTCGTAGCCGGTCACTTTGTCTCCTGCAGTGGTCCTTCTAACGATCCCAGATTTGTATGAGCCTTTCCTCCCCTACAACTGATGACTGAAGCAGACCAGTTTCCAAAAGGTTTGTGTCTGAGTAGTGCTCATGGCAATGGAAAATGTTCAAAATAGCAGCTGTTCTTATTACAAATTTTACGTTTCTGGACATTATCCATCGTCCTGCCTTTGTCTAAAAACACCGCCCTGTTTAGTTTTCAAAACACAACGTTTCGGAGACTGGATTCTGTCTCCGTCTGCAGGTAAAATCTACTCAGTTGGACCCAATCGATAGAGCTAGTCCCTATCTCCAGAGATACCTGAAGAAAGAGTCAGAATCAAATTTCTGAAAAGTTGTATTTTGAAAAATAAGCAGGACGGCGTTTTTAGATAAAGGCAAAACTATGGATAATTCAATTCAATTCAAATCTTTATTATTAATGTGCCGAGTCAACAGCCGCAAGGCCAATTACAGACACAGCACAGTGCATATGAATGAATTACATTATAGACAAACTTATTAAAAGTCAAATACAAATTACAGGTAAGTACTTGGAAGAAATAATAATGAATAAAGGTAAAAGTAAACAAACAAATAATTATAATTATAACAGTAATAATAATTTCATTATCATTAAACTAAGTGTTATTACGAATTGAGGAATGAAACATAAATATTTAATTAAGAAATGAATTAGTATGGATTTTCAGAGGATAATAATAATATATGTAATTCATTTTGTTTTACTGGACATGCAAATAATAAAAATACTAACAGTTATACTATATTTAAAATTTGTTTGGGTAGAACATTCCTGGCTCCGAATACATCAACATCCCTGCAGACAGCATTAGCAGCTGCTGCGCCTCTAGCAGAGGGACAATTTTTAAATAAGGAGCAAACATTGAACAATGCAAAATCTCTGATATACCGAGCAGGAACTCGGAGACCAACAATTTCCAGGACAGAAGGGCGAAACATCCAGAAACATAACATTTGTACTAATGTACCATCGTCAGAAACTTTTAGATCTTATTTGTCTGTTCTGACTGTTACACACCACCGTATATATACTTAGACTTGGTGGAACAGATGTTAAATCAAATGTTGTATTTAATTCGTACATTATAATTTAAAATTTAATGTTCTGCATAAAATATTAAAACTTCCAGTTCTATTTACATCACACTCTGCTAATGATTTGCAGTGCTATCCAATTTATATCACAGATTAATTATAAATCAATTTCTGACAGCAGGATGTGTTGGGAAGGATATTGCAGGAAGTAGCTGTTGTAAGATTTGAGGGTTTCACGGCCGTGACAATGAAGAAAGCAGTCTTCTGGGATGTGGCACCGTGTATATGTGGTGTTAACCGACGTTTCGGAGGAACGTATCGCCTCCATCATCAGGGTAGAAGGAAAAATAAGAAATCCGTAAACGGTGCCAGATCCCAGAAGACTGCTTTCTTCGAAGTAGCTGTTGTTTATTTTTAAGTAAAACCCAAAATTTTCATGGAAAAATTGGCCAAGTACATGAACATCTCACCATAGAAAAAGATTCCAGGAGTAGTATGAAATAGTGTAACTTTTTTACAGACATCAGTGCACGAATGGGTTCGTAATCACAGGGTGCACCATAAAAATAGTGACACTGATGCAGACCCTCACAATGTGCACCGCGGTTTCTTCTTCACTCATTATGGCTGGATGCTGCTACGGAAACATCCAGCTGTCAAGGAAAAAGGCAAGCAAATTGACACCTCGGATCTTGATACTGACCCATTTCTGATATTCCAGAAGAGGTGAGAAGGACCATGATTTTAACTTTGAGCAAAATGTCTGTATTTATATTTAATGTATTATTTTCGAATATAATTATCTGTTATCGACCGCCTCTGTGGTCTAGTGGTCAGAGTTCCTCGCTACAGACCTAGAGGTCCTGGTTTGATTCCCGACGTTACCAGATTTTCTGAGAAGTAGTGTGTCCGGAGAGGGGTCCACTCAGCCTCTTGAGGATAATTGAGGAACTATCGTATTTCGAGGAAATAGCGGCTCCGGCCTAGAGAACTGAGATTAACGGCCGTGGGATCTGACCACGCGACACCCTCTATCCGCAAAGTTTGGCACTAACTTCGCCGACAAGCGGCGGTCGCTCGGTCGGTATAGTTCGCTTGAGGACTGCAGACCACAAAGTGTGTTTTATTATCTGTTATCTGAAGGACCCATTATGACAGTGTAATGATAAGACTGTGCTGAAAACTTAAGTCCCACAGCAGGAAATTTCTTAAGCAGCTCAGCAAGAGCGTGTGTTTCGGATTAGTTAATAGGGTACCGTTAGTCAAGCATTCACTTGATTGTTCAGGTAGTTAAGTACAAACTCACCCCCATTCTGCATCTATTATTCACGCTTCCATATAATGCACCAACTACAGAACATATATTATATTCTTCTTCAGTCAGATAATGGGGAAAAACGGAACACAAAGATACAGTACATAAAATATTTGCAGAAAGTCTGTGTTACAGTTTCGAAAAGAGTATTATACAACATTTTTATTTAATTTGTTATTCTCTCAATACTAGTTAAGCCCATAAGAGTGTGTATAAAAATGAACCTTATATTAAAGTACATAAAGTAAGTAAGAAAGAAAAGGTATCCCTGTAACAGGGCATGGAGGTGCATAGGGTTGTGAGATGTTGAGGTCCTCACATTTTATAGACAATCGGCTAATAAATGACTGCAAGGTTGCCAGCCCTACGCGCCGGTCGCCTTTACCCTCGAGATTATTCCAATAATATTCCTGGTACTCATTTCTATTAGAGGCTGAGTCGACCCCAGGACAATACTGCGGCTGGAAGGATTAGGTCAATTGAAAGAAATCCAATGACCTCATCGGGAATTGAACCCGCGACCTTCCGGCTTGTAGCATAGTGCCTCAAATAACTACGCTACTGAGTGCCCCCCTAATAAATCCCACATAGGTAATTATTTATTTTATTCATTCGCAATTCAGATTCGTCTGAAGCAAGATGTTTTATTGCCGTTGCTTTTCAAATTTGCTGTAGAATTCGGCGTTATGGAAGTCGACGAGAATAGAGATATCGGAATTAAATTGGACTCATCAGTTTCATATTGTTGATAATTTTAATATATTGGTCAGTAGCACAAGTACTACAAAGAAAGGAAATTTGTCTAGATACAGACGCATAGCAACATGGGTATTATAGACTTACGTCTCATCATTACGTAACAAGACAATATCTTAATACAAGATGGAGGTTAGCCCCATCTGGGGCCCAACACCAAATTTTTGTTAGTGTCAGACAGTTGTGGTTTTTGTCGATGTGGAGCGCCCTTGCTACGGTCCCCGGTATCTAACCTCGACACGGACCGTACAGAAAACACCATCTTTAACAGTTCTTTAATTGTTGCGTGCATATATGTTGGGACAGGAGCGTGTTTACCGAGCCATTTCGTAACAACAGCCGTCTCTTCGGGCTCCACAGTTCTGTAGTCCGTGCGCGAACCACAGAAACACTTCTCCTGTATTGTTGCCGCGTATGTGTTGTGGGCGTTGCCTAGCAGTGTATCCATACGTCACCATATTAAAATCTAATAATTTTGTTAATAGCTTGCGGAGAACCTTCTTCATGGTACTGGAGCAACTTCGTAATGGTTACGGAGAGCCGTTTCAGAAATATTTATATACAGGAGTTAGCGGAGATGGGTTTTTGGAGAAATAGGATGTGGTGTATATGTGGAAACGCTCTACCACATTCATCTTGCTCAGTATAGGTACTACTGGCAGGAAGTTTTGAAAGACAGTAACAAAGTTTCGGGTTCCACAAACTACAGGATATTTTTTTTTGCCTAGATAAGCAAGTATTAGTTTTTCGAAGGACCCTGCTCAAAGGAGTTAATTAACAGCCCTAAAGAAAATCTTGAGTGATGTAGCATTTAACCAGGCTGAGTTCGTAGAATAAAATATATATTCTTCAATGTCAGTAACACTTGTAGCAGTGTTACTTAAATGTATGTATAGACAGTCCTCCTACTGTTTTGAAATAAGTAACGTTTTTCAGTAATTATGTGGAATACCAAGTATGAGAAATGCAGTGATTATTATATTTGCAGGTATTACATCATTATCATGCCTCTTTTATGCTTCCTGATACCAAGCGCAGTTCCAGTGTATTTCTGGGGCGACACGTGGACAAATGCATATCATATTGCGGCTGTGTTGCGTCAAGTAATAACACTTCACATGACCCTGATCACCAACAGCGTTACACATTGGCCCGGCACGTGGAAAAAAAGGCCTTATGACAAGTAAGTGTCAATATTTCTAAGGTTTAGAAATAAATATCTTTAGTAGGTCTTCATCATCGTTTTGTTACCAGAAAGAATATTTAGCCTTTAAAATACAGGTAATAGTGATTGTTTGATTATAGCTTACTAGTGACAGTGTGTGGGTGTGATGTCTACTTCTCCGTTCGTGAATCCCTTGTGTGCCGCGGGAAAATATGACATCATTCACACACGTGTGGAGGCGGGGTCGAAACCTCCACCGTGACCCTGCGAGTCATAGAAGTCGACGAAAAGGAAGTCTCAAATCTGAGACAGTAAAATACGGTCGCGAGTTCCAAGGGACTCGGACCCGAGAAAGTCTGCGCTGGCAAGAGCCAGTAGCATGTAAAAAAGACAGACACGTCCTCTCGTAAGAGAGGACGCCCCACAAAAAACAAAACCATAACGTTCAACAGTAATAAAGATCTGGTCATGAGCCCCAGAAGGGGTTCGACACCAAGACTTACTTGGACATCATTCAGCTCGCTAAGTAAGTAAGTAAGGAGTATGATATGAATTTGTCACTACAGAACAGAGTCCGCATATATTTAATCGGAGGATGATGCTCTTGCAAGATTGTTGTTTTGTGGCTTCCGTGGTATCTTAATGCAAAAGCATTTTCGTTCAATAATACAGGACTAGAAAATGGTATCAATAAACGACAGTATTTCAGTCGGCATTACTTCAACTTTGCAGATAAAGGATACTGTAAACCATTGTAGTAGTACTAGTACTAGTAGTAGTAGTAGTAGTCGTAGTCGTAGTCGTAGTCGTAGTCGTAGTCGTCGTCGTCGTCGTCGTCGTAGTCGTCGTCGTCGTCGTCGTCGTCGTCGTTGTTGTTGTTGTTGTTGTTGTTGTTGTTGTTGTTGTGCAGCATAACAAACATTTTCGAGATCACGGTATGCATACCCAGGAAAACTGATACTTTGGAGTGTAATCGGCTACTGTGTGCAAGAGTGACGTAAGTGTAGGTTTATCTGTGGAGACGGTAGATGCAGATGAAAATTATCAAATTTCTCCTTCAAATTTTCAACAGGTATTCCACCAGTAATGACACATTTTACAGATAGGTATTTAGAAAAATTAAAGGTAAAAAGCTAAATTTATCCCCGTAACAGGCCATGAAGGTCCATGAGCTTGTGAGACGTCGAGGCTCCCACATCTTCTAAATAATCCGCTCACAGATGGCGGTAAGGTTGTCAGCCTTACGCGCCGGCCGCCCTTTACCCCCAGGAAGATTCCTGGTACTCATTTCTGTTAGAGGCTGAATCGACGCCAGGGCCATAGTGAGGCCGGAAGGATTAGGTCAATTGAAAAATCCACCTCATCGGGACTCGAGCCTGTGACTTTCCGGTTTGTAACATTCATAGCCATTTTGTGGATAGCCCCCAGCACAGGCGAAGCGAGCGACTGTGATGGCAAGTTTGCAGGGATGGCACATTCTGCAAGATATCTCCTTTTTTCTTGTTTGCGTTAAGTGAAAAATAATTTCTGCTGATATTTATTTATGCTGTGGTTTTAATTAATAGAAACTGGAACTTAACGTGACGATTTCCTTCTCAGTGTTGGAAAGAAATGTTATTGTGGCAGAGCTTTAAGAAAGTTGCAGTGTCTTTAACTTGGGAGTGTGTGTGTGTGTGTGTGGGGGGGAAAGGATTTACCGAAAGACAAAAAAATTCTGGGAGAGTCCTGAAGCAATAACATGGTCATGGGTCCCACAGATCCGAAACCAAGAATGAATATGCTGGAGAAAATCAGCGGTTAATTGCTAAACCGGAAAACCCATTTCCAAACCAGAAAAATATGATCATAGGTCACGGTGGGTCCAAAACCAAAAACGATTTTCTTGGCGAAGGACAGCAGGGAATTAAAGTACCAACCCAGACCAGACAGACGTTTCGTCATCATTGGGACCCGAAGCCTATCAACGTATCTGCGAAGACACAGCCAATAAGCAAAGAGCGGTGTAACAGATAATGAAATAGTAGTACATACTTGTAAACTGCATAATAAATTGTAGATAAAACGTATCAATGCCTAATAAATTCAGTCACTAATCCGAACAGTGTTTCCAGTCTTTATAACGTGAAAACTGTCATATGAATTGCTGGATTGGTGGACAGTACAACTGTTATAATGGATGTGTTGGAGAGTTTGAAAACGAAACGAGGGCCGAAACAGAGACCGCGTTACGTGTCAACCAAGAAGATATAATGGTCCATGTGAAGGCGCGATAAGCGCTGACCAAACGAAGATGGAAAACTCCTAGATAAGCTAGAGGCCGCCATAAGCACCGGCCAAGAACAGTTGAGTTCCACCATGGATAGCGATCAGTTAGATATTGTAATATGACGACTGGAGGCTAGTATAGTGCAGCCAGAACTAACGGTCATTGCTAGGCAACGTCATTGTAAACATGTCTCTGGCAACGGATACGCAAGTAACAATAGAATTATTGGAAATTTGTTTCAATGCAGTCCGTGCCGAAGTTTCACGAGGAGAACCTAGGGGGCTTGTCTTGGAGCCAACGCGGACTAATGAGAAGTCTCCCAGACCAGAAACGTAGGAATGCGCACACTGCGTACACTCCGGAACGACGATGTAGTGTGCAGTGAGCTGGTCGGGACGAGCAGTCTTAAGGAGGGACAATGCAATATGTCGCCTTAAAATCGGAGTTTTGGAGCCGGAAATGTCGCAGATGCGTCCGCTGGTGGGCAACATGAAGCACCAAGAGCCTAGCGTCTTACATGCGCGCCACAGCAAACCTCACAACTCTCACAGAACTGGTGATATTGGTGTTCACTAGTCAGTCAGCAACAGAGTGAAATCAAATGAGCGCACGGGACTCACGACCATGCTTTTACAGTCTGGTCTCTGACAGCAAATTTTCGACGAACACGCACTCTCGCAGCTCTTACGGAACTGGTGGTATCGGTGTTCTCTAGTCAGTCAGCAACAGAGTCCAATCACTCACGATTCACGACCATGGTTTTACTGTCTGATCTCTGACTTTATGGAGGAACATAGACTGAGGGTGTTTGAGAACAGGGTGTTGAGGAGAATATTTGGACTAAAGAGGGATGAAGTGACAGGAGGTTGGAGAAAACTGCATAATGAGGAGCTTCATAACTTATACTCTTCTCCAAGTGTAATTAGAATGATCAAGCCAGGGAGGATGAGATGGGCAGGGCATGTAGGACAAATTGGGGAGAGGAGAAATGCATATAGGATATTGGTGGGAAAGCCGGAAGGAAGGAGGTCAATGGGAAGACCAGAGAATAGGTGGGTGGACAATATTAAAATGGATCTCAGAGAAAATGGATGGGAAGGTATCTGGCTCAGGATAGGGACGGTTGGAGTGCTGTTGTGAACACGGTAATGAACCTTCGAGTTCCATAAAGTGATGGGAAGTTCTTGAGTAGCTGCACAATTTGCGCCGTCTCAAGAAGGGCTCAGCCCCATAAGTGAGTGAACTGTTCTAAGAGTTGAGGACTATTGCTTCTGTTAACCGACCGTGGACCCAGATCTGAAGGCTCTTAGAGACGTCAGTCAACAAAATATCGTCATGATTCCCGCTGGACCCGGAGCCGAGAATAACTGTGCTTACGAGGGCCTGGAGCAGTTTACTCCACCGACCGAAAGTAGTTGAACCACTCCCTGAGTCAGGAGAAGAAGACTATTGTCATGAGTCCTGCGGGAATCCGGAACAAAGAAAAGGTGTGCTGGCGAAGGCCTGCAGCAAATTAACAGACCATAGCCGACCCGCCATAATACTGTACCGCTAGGCCGAAATTAAAATTACTGTACTGGCGAAGGCCGACAGCAAATTAGTAAACCAGACTAGAACCCCATGCAAACAAAGACAGAAGATCTCTTTACAGGCAACCAGAATGCTGATGGTTGCCTGGTTGGTCCTCTCCGTCAGAATTCATACAGGCCAGTTGCCTACTGTGAACGAAATGGTGAACTGAAGGGATCTATAACGTACGATCCTTTGTTAATATGAATGAGCTCTCATTAAGTACTGTGAAACATTTCCCACAGATCTTCAACTTAGCTTATAAATACAAATTCGCAAATATTATTATTTATATTCTCGTATAAATAAATAATAATATGTATATTCTCGTATGTGGAGAAAACAAAAGTAATGAAAATTTCGAGACAACCAACCCCAGTCACAATAAAGATAGACCAAAAACAACTGGAGAATGTGAAATGTTTTAAATATTTGGGTAGCTTGTTAACAGATGATGGAAGGTGTACTTGTGAAATTAAATCCAGGATTGCCATGGCAAAAGCTGCATTTAGCAAGAAGAAGAATCTTTTTACCAGCAAATTGGACTTAAATTTGAGGAAGAAACTAGTGAAATGCTACATTTGGAGCATAGCTCTGTATGGGGCTGAAACATGGACACTTAGGGCAGTAGATCAGAAACATCTGGAAAGTTTCGAAATGTGGTGTTGGAGAAGAATGGAGAAGATCAGTTGGACCGATTATGTGAGAAATGAAGAAGTGTTAATTAGAGTCAGTGAGCAGAGGAATATCCTACATGAAATAAGAAAACGGAAGGCTAATTGGATTGGTCATGTTTTACGCAGAAACTGCCTTCTAAAAGAAGCTATCGAAGGAAAGATAGATGGGCGGATAGAAGTGACAAGAAGACGAGGAAGAAGACGTAAGAAGATGCTGGATGACCTTGGGGACAGAAGAGGATACTGTCATTTGAAGGAGAAAGCTCTAGATCGCATTAAGTGGAGGAATTGTTTTGAAAGAGACTGTGGACCTGTCGTCTTGACAGATTACTGATGATGATGATGATGATGATGATTCTCGTATGCATGTATGTGTATGTGGACGTGTTTGCTTTTCACTTACGTTATATATTGCTCTTTCGAATTACACTCATACAAAAAGTTCTGCAAGACAAATATGTAAACATTTGCAAATAAAGCAACAGCCAGAGACTAACATTAGAATTTATGTATGGGTATCAAATGATGGCTAGGTGTTAGTTTCCATCCAAAGATCCTGCGACCAACGAACTTCAACGAAAATTTCTTTTGTTTTTCTTAGTCATAGAACAAATGCTGAGTTGATACCCTACTTTCACATTGTACTGCATGCCCCCTCTCAGTGGTAGAAATAGATTTCGCCCAAAAGTAGCCCTCCCAATTTTACATCAAATTTCACCATAATGTAGCCCTTACTTACTTACTTATTTACTTACTCACATAGCTGAGCCCTTCTGGAGGAGCCTCCAATTCTGCAGCTACTCATAAATTTTCCAGCATTTTATGGAACCCGAAGGTTCAATACAGTGTTCACAAGAGCCCTGCACTGACCCATATCCTGAGCCAGATCAATCCAATCATTAACATCTCATCCGATCTCTCTAAGAACCATTTTCATATTGTCCACCCACCTACTTCTTGGCCTTCCCATTGGTGTCTTTCATTCCGGCTTTCCCACCAATATCCTATACGTATTCCTCGTCTTAATGTAGCCCTACAAATGTTAGTATAAAATTAATTCCTACCATACATATTAAATCTCGAACTCAGTTTGTCCCTTGTGCTCATAAAAAGTCCAAAACCCAAAACTTTACAACTTCACTTCCTAGTACTCTACCCCTCTCAAAAGAACCTCTGTCAGAAAGACTAGGAGCACTGCTTGGGAACCTTAAAAAATTGTCGAAAAAAAAGATGTTCCTTTTGAATGTAATGTCTCTCACAGCCCCCCCCCCTCACTTTATCTTGTTTCTATCTATCTCAGTCGACAGAAAAGCCCCTGTTCTCAGAGCCAGAAAACTAGGATAGAATCAAGGAACAAGAGTGATATAACAGATCATGACACTTCAATTCATACTTACACACTGTGCCACTATCATAAACTGCGTCTACTTTATTTAACAGCTTTTTCTGTTCATTCCAGGAACATCTGCCCATCAGAAAACTTTCTTGTCTCCTTATTGACACTTGGCGAGGGATGGCATAATTTTCACCATGTATTTCCCTGGGATTATAAAACTTCGGAAATCGGGAACAACCGCATCAACCCAACTACTCACTTCATTGACTTCTGTGCCCGAATCGGTTGGGCATACGAACTGAAGACAGTTCCTATGTCGATGGTCAGGAAGAGGATTGAACGCACAGGTGACGGAACTCACGAAATCTGGGGTTGGGGTGACACAGATATGACCATCAAGGACAGGAACTTGGCAGAAGTTATCAATAAGGAAGTGATGTAACAGGAAGTGAGACGGATAGAGTGTGCCATGTGAGAATCCATCTGGAACAATTTTAGATAAAAAGCATTAATATATTTTTAATTAATTATATTTATATAATTGGCGAGTGCATTTGTTAGTGTCTGTATTCTTTTCACATATTAGAGCGAAGTAGGGAGAGTAACGTTTGATGAATTATATAAACGCGTTACCTCAGTACACATGTGAATCTCTCACATTAGATTTGAAAGAATCATTTATTTATATGCCAGTATTTTATTGTCTCAAATGAAGCTGTATAATAATGCGAAAAAGTCTTTGTTACTGAGCCTACCCAAGTCTGAGCGTTTAACACGAGAGTCTCTGTGAAAATTTTTCGGTACCAAAACCCATGAAGTCTGACATAAACAAACAGCACTTATGAGACGGATATACAGACGTAAGGGTGCGAATGTAACATGCTGGTTAATTTAAGAGAAAGAAGAAAATATTATTATTGAACTATACAACAAAGTTCTTAAGCTTTAAAGCAATAAATTTCGGAGTGTTCTCTCTCGCTTAGCACACGAAGGAATCTATCGCTGTTGTCACAGGCGAAATGCTGCTGTTTCTGCCCTGTATATTCTCCTCGTATGTAATATTTTTCATAAATAAAGTACTTAAAATACTCCTCGGATTGGCAGTGCTGCATGATGTTTTCAAAGTACCATTCTTGATTATTCGGAGGTAAGTATAATTTATGGTTTAAAATTAAATAAATGAGTTACTCGCAGATTTATGATCATACTCCAATCAAGAAAATCACAAAAACCTTGGATTTAGGGATCACTAACTTTCTATTTATGTTTCCAAGAAAACACATGGTTATTCGCCGTGTGTGTAAAGTGAGTCCTATTTGCACCACCCATCACTCATGGAGCTGAGCCCTTCTTGAGAAGCTGCCAATTGTGCAGCTACTCAAGAAATGTCCAGGACGTTGTTGAACTCGAAGGTTCTTTACCGTGTTCACAAGAGCCCTCCACTGGTCAATATCCTGAGCCGGATTTATCCAATCCATACCATCCCATCCCATCCTCTCTCTCTAAGATCCATCCTAATATTGTCCGCCCACCTACATTTTGGTCTTCCCAGTGGTCTCTTTCCTTCTGGATTTCCCACCAATATCCTATACGCATTCCTCTTCCCCCATTCGTGCTACATCACCTGCCCACCTCAATCTCCTTGACTTTATCGTTCTAGTTATACTTGGAGAAACGTACAAGTTATGAAGCTCCTCATTATGCAGTTTTCTCCAACCTCCTGTCACTTCATCCCTCTTCGGTCCAAATATTCTCCTCAACAACCTGTTCTCAAACACCCTCAGCCTATGTTTCTCCCTTAATGTCAGAGACCAAGTTTCACACCCATACAGAACTACAGGCAAAATTATAATTTTGTATATTCTAATTTTTATGTTTTTGGACAAGAGACAAGAAGACAAAAGTTTCTGGACTGAATGGTAGCAAGCATTACCCGAGTTCAGTCTCCTCTTAATTTCCTCCTGAATCAGGTTTTGATTTATTATCGTCCTTCCCAAATATCTTAACTGTGCCACAATTTCAAAACATATGTTACCCATCTTTATGTCCTGATTTTGCCCTGCATTCTGGTGACGAGAGAGCAACATATACTTAGTTTCCTCTGTGTTTACTCCTACACCAAACTCCTTACTTGCGTCAATTAAAGTTTGTGTGTTTTTCTTTATGGTATCTACATTATCACCCAGTATATTCACATCATCGGCGTAGACCAACAGCTGATGTTTCGCGTTTAGTTTTAGTCCAACCTGGTTTCCCTGGACCTTCCTAATTGCATATTCTAAGGCAAAGTTGAAAAGGAGTGATGATAAAGCATCTCCTTGTTTTAGACCATTCTGGATAGGAAATTTATCAGACAAGTGTTTACATAGACGGACTTTACTATACGTTTCGTTTAAACACATTTTAATCAACCTAACTAGTTTCATGGGTATCCCAAACTATCAGAATATTGTACAATACTTCCCTCCTAACTGAATGAAAGGCTTCCTTGAAGTCTACAAATAGCTCGGCGAGGAGCCGGGCTCGAATTAATCTCACCACACACATATGAGCGTGGCGACCCACACACGGACGAGTTTGGCTCATGGGACCCGAGCCGAGTCTGACTCGCCAGCCAGATTTCTACGTGTATGGTCAGCCTAACATCACTGACCCTATGTACATTCAATAACTGAGAAAAGTAATTATTCCACCTATTCAAAATGATGTGGGAATCTGCAAGCAGATCACCATTCTTATCTTTCACTAAGTTACTTCTAGGTTGGCAACCCTTCTTGAAGTTATCTATTCCTGTTACATAGCTCACATACAAGCTTCGCGTCTTACATTATGAAGGAGGCAGCGCCCTTCAGATACGTATACGGTTTTAACCGATTCTTTAACAGGAAATGACAACACATAAGAACAATTTGGAAAACATAAACAGATAGTGTAGTTGTGGAGAAAAAGTTCATTAACTCTGAACAGCTGACCACTTAACGAACGGCTTACGAAAGTGTTTAAACACTTCACTATTGCGATCAATGCGTAACGCAATCGTATTGCGCCAAAAATCATGATACAATAAAATACTTGAGGCATGTTACATGTTTCCATCCAAGCTGTTTCAGTGGAAGTCCTCATTTTCTGACAGTTACGTCGTTTGGTGCAAACGTCGCTCTTCAGTTCTCTCCGCAATCGTAAGTCAGCAGGAGTGAGATCAGGAGACTGCGGAGGACACGCAACTGGTCCATGGTGTGTTATGTCTGTAATCTCTAAACTGCAGATCCCATAATTCTTTTAATGCTAGCGTGGTGGGGTGGGACTAAATCCCTTGTACTCCGGCCACTTCTGGCCTATTGTACCAGCTCCAGATGATAGGTGAGGGTGATTGTGGAGCAATTGGTGGAATAAAAATTGGCAGGGGAAACCGAAGTACTAGGAGTAAACCTGCCCCAGCGCCACTTTATCCACCACAAATCCCATCTGACCAGACCCGGGATCGAACCCGGGCTGCCGCGATGGGAAGTCAGCGACTAACCGCTTGAGCTATGGCGCTGCTTATCCCATATGTTAATTGTTGTTACTAGTGTTATGATTTGTTATGTTTGTTTACTTTATACTCACTTTACCCCTTGTTTTGCGTTGTTCCCTCTACTTGCGTGTGATGTTGTCTTCACTTGCGTAGATGTGGCATGCTTGCTTCCGTATTTAATTTCCATCTTAAATGTTATTACTGTTTGTCCAACGTACTTCAGTGGACAATCTAGCCATTTCATTTTATGAATTCTACTTCTACTATATTTATTTATTTGAGGCAGTGGCCTTAACATGTTCTGTATTGTGTTCCGCTTACGGAAGGTCACTTTTATTCTCTCGTCTAGAAAACGCTTTGTGATTGCTCTCACTTCCTTGCCGCTGCAAGGCCAGATATAAAGAAGAAAAAAACATCACTACATTAAAAGTAACTATAGTAACTCCGGATATTCAAATCACATGTCGGACACCGAACATACATACGACATAGTAGCGGACACAATGCAAATTATAACAACAGGGAGGAGGAAAGGAAAATATTTGAATACACTTGAAAAGTATCATACTTCCGAAATCAGTAGGAAGAATTTACATATCAATGACACAAATATTGATACACACAATCCAATATTTGAAGAATTACACAAAATTTATATAAAACCACGTTATACTCCTTCCCCAAACTTCTTCCCACTTTTCACAACTACGGAGATTATAACCACTGAGGCAAACACACCACATCTACGCAAGTGAAGACAACGCCACACGCAATTAGAGGGAACAACACAAAAGCGAGGGGCAAAATGATTATAAAATAAACAAACATAACACAACATAGCACTAGTAACAATAATTAAAAACAATATTAACATATGAAATCTTGCAGATTACAGATTCCAGACGTAACACAACAAAGGCCTTACGAATAGAAAAACATGGAGATGCAATTAAATATCCTGAAAGAAAGAATACAGGTTTAAACAAGTGGACGATATCCCTTCTGAGTTGTAAGAAGAATTTTACAAAATTATAAGAAAATTTTAATAGATTTTATTTTATTTATATTAAGTGAACTACACCGTGTGCTATTTTAGGGCATACAAGTTAGACTACGATATGACTTTATGAATTATGAAGGGTGCAGTTGCATATGTGATGAATGGATAATATTTGTGCAGTGTAGCAGTTTTGGCATAGTAAGACGCCTGAAGATGGCCAATTAGGAATGAAACATGTCTTGAAAGTGAAATTAAAAAAAAGGGCAATTTGTTGCATTGTTGAAAGACTGTGTAGTACATAAAAATTTTTAAAGACTGGGTAACCCAGAACTTAATTACAATTAAAACTAGTTGAGTAACTAACGATTAATTTTTTTCTAAACCTAATATACTATGTAAATTAAAACTAAGTCACTTCCACTGAATTACTTAGTACATTAACATTTAACTAGTTCGAAAGGTTTCTTCCATTTGAGTCGTCTAATGATATTGTTCACGTTGAGAGGTCTGGACGGTTCAATGTTGACGTGGTTTTGGAGCCTCTTTTCATGAGAGGTGGCGGACTTAGCGATGATATCTGTAACCGTCTCGATTCCAAGGTCACGATGAAGGTCACTGTTACGAACGTACCATGGTGCGTTGACAATACATTTTAGCACTCTGTTCTGATAGCCTTGGATCACTTGAATATTGGATTCACTGGTGCAGTCCCAGAGCTGGATACCATAATGCCAAACTGGACGTAGAGTTTGTATAATATAAGTTTATTGTGAACTGATAATTCAGAATTGCGTCCAAGTAGCCAATACATTTTTCTGAACTTATTGTTGAGCTTATCACGTTTTTTCTTGATATGCTCTTTCCACCGTAACTTAGCGTCTAGAGTTATTCCAAAATATTTCGCTGTGTGGGCGTATGGAACTTGAGTGCCATTGATGAAGATTGATTGTTGTGTAATTCTCTTGTTTGCAAAGTCATTATGGTTTGGATTCGTTGAGTTTAATTCGCCATTTTTTTTGTTAACAGCTGATTGTAGATTTCTAGTTGAACTTTCAACAGTCTCTCCTACTGCCATGACTGCTGTATCATCTGCAAACGTGGCTATAGTACTGTTCGATGTAGTTGGCACATTAATATAAAGTAGATATAGGACTGGCATCAATACACTTCCCTGTGGGACACCAGCCTTGATTATCTTCAGTTCTGAGTACGAGTCTTCGCGTTTGACGCGGAAATACCGATTGGTTAAATAAGATTTTAGGAATTGATAGAAATGATCAGGTAGAATTGATCTCAATTTGTGAAGTAGGCCTTTATGCAATATTCTCTCAAAAGCTCGTGCAATGTCAAAAAGACAGCAGAGCACACTCTTTTGTTTTCAAGCGTTTTTCAATGACGTCAGTGATACGATGCACTTGGTCAATTGTTGAATGATTTTTTCTAAAGCCAAACTGATGCGTTGGCACTAGATGTTTGTCTTCAATGATGAGTTTAAGACGTTTAAGCATCAGTTTCTCAAATAGCTTAGACATAATCGGCAGTAATGAAGTTGGTCGATATGATTCCACTTCACTTAGATTCTT